TTGGTTAACCCGAAAGCAGGCACGCACTCGATACTAACGTGAATAGTCGCGCGGGGTGATGGAGTCACCCCCAAACCTTTTTTCAACACTATTTTTACTGTACACAATAAAAATCGTAATTCCAGTGAATAATTTAATTAAGAGAAAGTATAATTAGCTAGTTTTAAGGACTTCTTATTTTTTCTTTGATAATTTGAGAAAAAATCCAATTGAACTGAACTAAAATGACACACTTCGTTAACATTACAGGAATTATATTTGCAGCAAAACTGTCATATTTTGTTCAAGTTATTGTAGTGTTATTGTCCTTAGAGAATTTCCAATAGTATGATGAATTTTTCCGAGCATGTGCCTTTTTCACAGGGCACATGGTGTGTTGTGTACACATGTGACTTTATATCTTTCTTGATGGATTTTTTTTAGGTAGCATTTGAAAACTTTCCTTTCAACTCAAACGTTTCCTGTCCATCGCTTTTCTCAAATTTACTTTCGCTATCATCATTAACACTAGAAAGACTGAAATTCAGTATATATCTATATTGCCCAAAATCAGTCAAAATGACTGCATTGTGAAAGAATAACCAGTGTGTAAAAAAGTTTGTTTAAAATTAATTTTTAATATTTTTTTATATTATTTACAGTCATATTACAAGTTATTTTAGTAAATATTAACAATAAAAAAATTACTTGTATCTTGTTTATATAACAAGATAAAGTTTTATTTTTTTTTTTTTTTTTTTTTGTTTAAGGTATCCGATTACTTGCGACAACTTTCTTTTGAAAAAATGAAGATATGAAGATTTATTTATTTATTTATTTTGATTTTTAGATTTATTTAGTATATTTTAATGAAAAGTCCTAAAACTGAAAACAGAAAAAAAGTTTATTAGTATTAAAATGGGAAAAAACCGGTGAAAATGTACAGTAAATTATTACATAAGTGGGGCCCGTTATGTACAAAAATTTTATTAACAATTTCTCAATTTTTCAATTTTGAATTGTTACTTTATTTTTGATGTTTGAAATGACCATCAAGATAAGAGATATTTTAGTTTTTACAAAAAGTAGAGCACTTTATCTTAGTGATTATATGGAATTGCTTTAAAAAACAGTGATTATATTCCCATAAAGGACTGTAAATTTTGAAATAAAACAGTGATTGATAAATCTAAAGATCAAAACACTTCTACTGTTATACAGAACATACGCAAAAAATTTCAGTAAATTATTTTCAAAACTTTTGGTGTAATCGCTGTCCCGGTTTGAGCTTTTCGAAAAAAACACATTTCGAGTAAAACGCATTTTACAGTTTGACATCTTGTGTAAAGTTAGGGCATTTGCTTTTACTAAACACTTGTAGTTTTTGTTCTAGCGAATGGAAAATAAAAAAACTTGGTTTTTTTATTAAGCTAATAAGAAGACCTATAAAATAAAATCATAAAAAAATTGTCAATTTTTGAAAAAAAAAATCATGTTTTTAGGGTAGTCGGATACCTTAATTCAACAACACGTAAGTAATGAATGAATGATTGATTGTGTATGAAAATCGCCCTTTGAAGCAACATTAAGATTTTTTGGGACAGATCTTGTAATTTTGAACTATCTTCAACTGATGAGGATGACACCTTAAATGTCAATCTTAACTTCCTAATCACGCCATCGTGAAGATTTATGCCTCTACAGATTGGATAGGAATCCTCCCCTCTATGCAGCGGGTCTTCCATGTTCTTAAAACTCGAGTTCATGGTTCTGTAGAAGTCACTGCGGGAATGAAATCATGACCATGACCATCCAGATACCACAGTCACATTATAAAGATAAGAATTCGCTTATAGAGCAATATATGTATTGAGCAGTCAATTTATAAATAATTTCAATAATACCCGAAAAGAAATAGAAACCAAAGTATTGTTAAATCTTTGCCGTATGCCAAAGCTACATCAGATTTATTTGATAGTATTAATTTCCTAACTACTTTCGGAATATGTAACCACCTCGCTCAATCAGTGAGTTAAATACCCTGGACGTAAATATCCGTCTTTTCAAAATATGATCCTTTCCTTTGGTAACGGTAACGGTTATACATTTACGTGGAACCTTAGAGATAGCTCTATTATCCACTCATCATAATAAATTGAATCCTTTCCTTTGCGCTGCTAGCAGTAAAACTATTCCGAAGGTTTTGGAATGCAATATAGTTGTCTTGACAGTGTGTTTGCGAAGGATTATCTCATTTCAGAGAAAAATCTACTTACTGGTACTTTTTCTCCTCCCCCCCCCCGAGGCGCGGGGGGGGAAACGGTGGCAGAGAGGAAAGAATCGTGTAACTTTAAAGCAGCAGTTAAGTAATTAAAAAAAAAAAACTTTTGAAGATTATTAGGTTATTAACCAATTAAATTTCGTTTAGATTAAAAGAAATTATTGCCATGTTTAGGTTAAGCAATTTATTAATGCGCTTATAAATTTTTTACTCACAGGCTTCAATTGATTAACTAGTAAAATGAAATAGTTCGTTAAAGAATCATTCAGAATGTGATATGTATGAAATAATAATAATAATAAATCAATTTCTGAACAGAAAAGGATTTTGAATATCGAAAATAATGTAAATATACTCATGAAATTTACCGTGATATATTTCTTAAATTTTCATGAAATCACTAGCTATATAATACAATAAAAAAGAAAATCTATGATGTTGCTGTTTTTTAACTGAAAAAGTGAGTTAACTATATTGTTGAAAACATAACAACTAATGTTTTCCTTTTTAAGATATTTGTTGTTGTATACATTTTGAAATGACCTAATTCGGTCAATACACATATTTTTTATTTTATTTTATTGAATAGAGCAAACGATCGGTTTTACAAGAAATAATTTGATTTGTTTCTGCGTTACTTAGAGGTCAAGTTACACAATAAGTTATATAAAATTAGAAAAGCCGGAAATGGGTCATTTTTAATCTACCAGAAGTGGGCATTTAAATGGTTAAAAATCTATCATGGTGATTCAGATAACTCAAAGTATTAAAAATGTATTTCTATGAAACTTTTTCAACCTGATACTTTTGTTACTTTCTAAACAATGTACTAAAATATTTCTAATTATAAGAATATTTTTTAGTTACGGCCAGTTATTTAAATAGTGGTCTCATAAAGATTGTCACATTTCTTGCAATATTTACTGGATCCGCTCTAAAATTTTAAAATTTAATAAAAGATTAAAAGTTTAGTTCATTTTTTTAGATAAATGCATCTAATTTGTTTTAGTAATACTTTTACTGCTATAAGTTTATAACTTTTGTTCTAATTGATTTGAAGTTTTTCAAAAAAATTGTGTGCTTAAATTTCACATGTAGTTGGGATTTTTGTAAAATTTAAATCATTTTTTTAAAAAATATTATTAGTTAAATATTAGTATTTATTGATATTAATCCCTAAAAAACCCTTTATATTGTTTTAGCATGCTATTTTTTAAAAAAAGTACTCCAAACGTGCTTTAATATCTTGAGAGAATACATTTGCACGCCGAGTCGCACCCTAAAATCCTCGTAAGAAATAATTAAAAAAAATACTCACAAGCTCTGTTGTTTCTTCGAAATACATCTATTATCAACAGCAAATTTTAAACAAAGTAATTGGTTAAATATAAAGATAGAAAAAAAACCACGCATTATTCACTTATTATAAGTGTCAATAAAATTAAAATCACTTTATTTTCGATGATAATCAATATTCTGCCATCAAATATTCGCAAAACAATTTTTGACATATGAATACACAAAATGTACAAAGGAAATGAAGTATATAATAAACAAACACATGAAATAAAAATAAAAAATCAGTAAACATAATAATAAAAAAAATAATAATAATGAAAAGAAAAAGATTTTTGAGGATCAACATTTCATTACTTATTATTTATAGAATTAGAAATTGGAAAAATATGGGTGAAAACACAACAAGTTCGATTGTCTCAACTACTAAATTCGTGCATATCCTAAACGAAACCAATAAAGTGATTCAATAAATCAATTGGAAAAGCTATTTCATTGCTCGAAGATAAAAAGTTCAACTACCGCCCCTCCCCTTCCTTTCCAAATAAGTGCAATTTAATTATTTTTCTGTATTCAAACAACTTCTCATTTTTAACAATCCCTGAAATATTAACTTTTTACTAGGGTAGCTGTGTGACATCACTAAGTAAAAAAATGAAATACGAATCCACTCTAATTTATATTCGCTTAGTAAAAGACGGGCTCCGGATATGAATTACGAGAAAGATAAGTTATCCGGCTTGCAATACGGCCGAAAATATATCTTAAGGAATCAATAAGGCTGTCTACGTGACGTGTTGGTGAAAAGTAAGAAATGGGCGAACGTCAATCTTTTGATCAGGAAGACGAGAACCATAACGTTTGATGAGAAAGTTGAAGAAAGTTGAAATCAACATGAACACATCACATTTTCTATAGATTTTTCTTTTCGTGGAAGTACATATACTCTTGCCAAGAATGTAACATTGTTGCAATTATTTATAGTCTGATGTCAGATACATTACTTATTTTGTGTAAGGTAATAAGTTAAGAAGTGTAACATTTACGTTACATTTATGCACTGGTATTCTTATAATCAGTTAACTGTAAAATTGAAATTCGAAATTATTGAAAAAGCTCATTTATTTCTATGAATTGAATATTTTCTGTCCTTATACTTTTCCTTATGATCTATTTTTTCAATTCCTACTATTAGTTCACTCTCTCCCTATATATGTTTATATATATATATACATATTGTTTAAATTTTCAATCATCAATAAAATACTTCCTATTTATCCATTCGAATTCAAATATAGTTTTTTTAAACTTGTAGTAAATGACACTTGATGTTAATACAGTTTTTTTCAAATATTAGTTCATTAATTAAATTAAAAAAATGAATAAATAGTAACAAACAGAAAAAATAATCCAACAGCATATACAAAAAGGTAAATGGTTCGTTGTCTCTTTGTAGCGCAATGGATAGCGCATTGGACTTCCATATCCAAAGGTCGTGGATTTGAATACCACCTGGAATGTTCTAATTTCTGAGAATGTGATTTCTTTTTTACTATACAATTTTATTAGAATAATTAAATTTAATTAATGAATAAATAGAAAAAAAAACAAACAAAAATAGTCCAACACCCTGTATAGAAAGGAAAATGGAAAATTTTAAGGAAAATCACACTTTCTTTTTTTTCACTCAATATTGTAACATATTTATATTAATTGTAAGTATTTAACAAAAAAGTAACAAAAGATTTAAATTTTTCTTTGTTGACTTAAGTAGGAATTGATTTAATTTTTTTATATTACTTGTCATGATTATATTTAATTAACTTTATTGTTATTGTTTAACCTGAATAGCTTGCTTCATTTTGGTTAAAGCCATATATTAGCGGAAAACACTCATGGATTTATTTAGTTTTTGTAACTGTGAATTTATTCAGTAAATAATATAGCTCTCTGTAAGTACTATAATACCCTCTGTGACTTATTGAAAACTTACGATAAATAAATTATAACGGTCACCTATAATGCATATTATAAGAATTTTTTGAATTTTTTTTTACATCTTTTAATTCTTATTTTACACTGATAATAAATGATCCACCAATTAAAATGTTTGAAAATTTCTAATTTATAAGAAAATTACTAACTTATTTTCTATTATATCGTTCATCAATATTATAAAACATTTTTATTATTTTTATAACAAACATTTACCTAAATTATTTCTACATTTTATTTTAAGTGCTTTTATACATTACATTTAGATTTTTTATGCGTACATTTTATTTTTTACATTTTATATCTATCGCATTCAAAGTTAAAGCTAAGGAATTGGAAAGTCTTAGATATTTTTGACTGTTTTATACCTGTAATTTACATGTTATTGAGAATTTATACTTCAAATTATATTAACGGACTAGTGAAAATGACATTTTTATTGTAGTTTCCAAAGTATTATTTTGGAATTCAGATTTCAAGCATCAAAGTTAATTCTTCATTTGAAATTTAAGAGAATAAAAATAGAAGAAGTTATATTGTTATTTTATCTTTGTAAGCGTGTTTATAGAAGAGTTTCAAAAATAATACTTTGGAAATTGTTTGCGTGATAAAAACAATTGCTTACATAGAAAAATTTTCAAAAAATATTTTTTCTGTGAATTTGTGTTGAATTTTAGTATTTCAAGTGTAAAAAGGTGGTAAATTCGGAGATGGGTTGAATAGTCTCTCTTTAGTGTAAGAATCAATTATTAAGTTACGTTACACAAATGCAACCAGTGGCTTAACGTACATCCCCGCAAACCACGCATTGCCGGTTGGAGGGGGGCTCTAGGCGGCTTTAAGTCTGAATCATGCACAGTACGTACAATTTGTAAGATCCGGCTTGAAGCACAAAGCCGGACTTTGCAGGGGGCCTTAAAGGGAGTTTGAAACCTCTCTCTCTATATATACGGACAATTTTAAATTGGCTGTTTTCGATGTACCTTTTCTCAAAATTTGTTTTATGTACATGCTTCAAATTTTTCATACAATTAAAGTACACCTTTCTCATTATACTGAAATGAGCTTTTACCTAATTTTGAATTTTTTAATAATTTGTGAAATATTTTATCAAACTTTGTGAAATTTGACCCATTTTTCACATAAAATTTTTTTGTAAAAAGTGATTTTTTTTTTTTACAAAAAGCTCATTTTAGTATATATTAGCCATCATTATAAATATATCATACAAAATTTACATACCTGTGAACTGTAGTTTCTCAGAAAAGGTACATCGAACATCAAAATTTACATTTTGAGATAAATTGATTTTAATGTATAAAGTGAGGCTTCTAATAGGCTAGGAAATTAAAAAAATAAAAGGCTAAATTTACAATAAAAGATACATGCTTTGGTTTATATCAGACTATCATGTTTTAAGCAAAAACGAAGTACTTTGTTTACCTTTTTCACCATTCAAATGGGCGTGGCCTAGTTTCAACGATTATTTTAAAATAGGTTTTAAGGGATTCTAATTACCCTAGAGTTTAAAATAAGATATTTTTAAAAAGGTTAACCATTTATAGGTTATAATTTATAAAAAGGTCTATACAATTTAAAAATATAAAAATCTCAAATTGTCAAAAAATAAAATTTTAGCTTTTCAAAACACCTTTTAATATACTTCATTACGCCACACACACACTGAAGACAACAAACATCGTTAACAAAAATTAAGGACAAAGAACATGGACGGTTTCTCATAGAGAACACATTCTTTCTTGACCTGGCCTCCATTGAAGATGAGTGGTCTCTTAAGGGGCATTTCAGCTGCTCAGAACTGTTTGCTGCATTTATCGCTGCTAAGAGCGGTTGCATAAATGAAATACTTTTTTAAGGTATCCGACTACGTTCGGAACCATGATTTTGAAAAAACGCATAAATGAATAATTTTCGTGATATTTAGTGTCACCAAGATTAGAAATTATGTATACAATTGTTTTTTAAGGACATTTTGGCAAAAAAAATTATTTAAATACAATATTTTGGCAAAAAATTAACTTAGAATAACTTTTTTTTCAAAATGTTCTCCTTTTCTTAAAAATGCTTCTATTGTAATAATATTTTGCCTGTATATAGCCCAGACCTCTCTACAGAGGGTCAACTAGAATTTTTGAAATATATAACTTAGAAGTGAGTTTATCCATATTTTACGACAACAGAGAGGAGCAATTTTAAGAAAAAAACGCCAATAATTATTTCAATTGGTGGTAACTCTGAAAATAATGTGAATTTTTCAAACATTCTATTTGAGCCTCTGTAGAGAGGACTGAGCTATATACAGGCAAAATATTATTATAATAGAAGCATTTTTCACAAAAGGAGAACATTTTGAAAAAAGATTATTCTAAGTTAATTTTTTGCCAAAATATTGTATTTAAATAATTTTTTTTTGTCAAAATGTCCTTAAAACAATTTTATGTATGTATTCTAATCTGAGTGACACTAAATATCATGAAAATTATCTATTTATGTACTTTTTTAAAATCACGGTTCCGAACGTAGTCGGATACCTTAAAAATAGTTTTTCAGTTCATGTTTGTTTCTATTCATTTCGTAGGATGCTTTAGAAATGGTTTGTTCACACTGAATTGATAATTTAATTTAATAAAATACTAACTTCTATTGATTTGAAATAAAAATCGTTCTAATTTTATCTTTTCAATAGCTTTTTTCGCAATGCTCTATTCAAGTTATTCTAATATTGTGCTTTAAAAGGGAACGATTCCCATACTGTGCTCTTAGACATTTCCCATATGATACAAATGTAATATTTTCTTCCTTCACAACTTTCTTTAAATTTCTTTTTTGCTACTTTCATCTCTTAGTACATCCCTCTGGTAATCAAATCCACAATTTCTCTCATTTCCCCTATGAACAAAGTTAGAAACATACATAACAGAATACTATTTCTCCGTCAGCACCTTCTTCCTACTTCGTCTACTTTTTTTTTCACCTCACATCAAAAAGCAAGCTCACAAGTGTGCGAAATTGAAAATGAAAGTGCGAAACAAATTAAATTTCAACTAACCGCTTTATCATCTTTCCTAAATACCACAGCGACGGAATAAAATATTAGTTTCCTCTCTCATAAAGGCGGGAATTGAATATCAATATTTATCAACAGCCTTCGTATTGCGGTACAACCAATTTCACTAAGAGTATCGCTTCGGACTCAAATGAAAGATCTTAAGTTTCCTGAGCCCAGAGAGATCCTTATTATAAATGAATCTGCTCCTGAAGATTGAAATGCTTTCTGAACTTTGATATTTTTAAAGAGACGTGTGCGCGTGAAAAATGAACTGGCTCGGAAGATCTTCTTCAGGATGAGTGCGACGTTGTACGCTGCAAAGAAATATAAATGGAAAAATTCCATAAAAGAAGCATAAATAAGACACTGGGTTTGCTATCAGACACCGTAAGAGATGCTTTCTGCGTGAAGATTTATCATAAAATTGCCTCTCATTTCATTCATATTCACGACTGTAACTTGATCCTGGATCTGAGAATATCATGCAATCTATCTTTCTTTGAAACTCATTGCTTTAATAAAAGAAAATTTTTTTACTCCTAGTTTTAGAATAATTTTATTAAAATATTCATAATATTTTCATATTTGGACAAAACCAAGGCTTCGTAACGTAATTTTTTCACTTCGGTTTTCGTTCCGGTTTCATTAAAAAAATATATCGGTTCAATTCCTGTTTTCGGTTCAGTTCCGAATGAAGAATTTTATTTTATGCATATTTTTATTTAAACTAAAAATATAATTCTAGGCCATCCAGTATAGTGGTTAGTGATGCTGACTGCTGTGCCGTAGGGACTGGGTTCGAATCAAGGAGGAAGCATAGATGTTTGTAAATGTATAGTGCCTTTGCAGCATGGGGGGTACTCTAAATAGCCGTCGAGCCGCAAGCCCTCTTTTGAGGAGGGTGGAAGTCAGAGGTGGGAAGGCCCCTGACCATCCCTAGAGTGTCCTCCCTCAAAATTTGGGTGGAATCGAGCCACAAAAAGGTATAGTCGTACTAGTCTTTTACCGTGAGGAAATTTGTGGGCCTCGAACTGATATCGTCAGACAGGTGGTATTAGTGACAATATAATTCTATCATAAGCAAAAAATGTAATTCTAACAAAATTAAAACGATTTTTTTTTTCATCTTTTTTTTAATTTTTTTTTTTTTTTTTGGTACACTAGATTAATTGATACCATTAACCATCATGTACGATAAGAGCAGTGAACAGATAATGGCAAGCATTGTCACTGTTATCTGTTATCAAAATCATATTTAAGAACTAGGCTCATGTGTGATTCTGGTTTGTTTATCAAAACAGTCTGTTCAAACATTTGTGAATGATCGCATGCTGAGATCCGAAAAATATAACTCTGATATTTTTCTTAAAAGATCATCTCGTTTATCCAACTGAATTAAATTTCCCTTTAACCCCTTATCTACCGCATTATGATTTACTGCAGTTTTTTTCATGC